GGGAAGGGAAGGGGAGGGGAGGGGAGGAGGGGAAGGGAGTAGGGGGTTTAAGGAAGAAACTGCTTGGATATAATATATATATATATATATTATATATATATATATATTATTAATATTCCAGAATGGCTGGTATGGAACGGGGGAGGGGAGGGGGAGGAGGAGGTTTAAGGGAAGGAACTGCTTTGGATTCATTTTTTTTTTTTTTTTTTTAGAATATTCCAGAATGGCTGGTATGGAACGGGGGGGGGGAAAGGGGAGGGGAGAGGAGGAGGGTGTTTTACGGGGAGATTTTTTTTTTTTTTTTTTTTTTTTTTTTTTTTTTTTTTTTTTTTTTTTTTTTTTGAGTTGGGGGGGTCATGATGTTATGGTGTGGTTATGGGTGATTTTTCTTTGTCTTTTGTTCTCTCTCTCTCTTTTCACTTTTTATGTCTCTGTATTTTTTCTTTCAATTTATCTTTATATTTATTCTCATCCTCTCTCTCTCTCTCTCTTCTTCTCTCTCTTCTCTTCTCTCTCCTTCTCTCTCTCTCTCTCTCTCTCTCTCTCTCTCTCTCTCTCTCTCTCTCTCTCTCTCTCTCTTTCTCTCTCCCTCCCTCTCCCTCTCTCTCTTTCTTTCTATTTCTCTGTATTTTCCTATGTTTTATTCTTTCCACAAATACACAAAACGGATGAAACGGGGGCATAAGAAAGAGAGAAAGAAAACGTGGAAAAAGAAAAAAAAGAGAGAAAGGTAAGGGAAAGAAGGAAGGAAAGAAAGGAAAAAAGAATAACTACTTGCTTTACTGTTAGCGAGGGGAATTCCCAAGGAAGAGAGAGGGGAGAAGGAGAGAAGGAAGAGGGAATGGAGGGAGAAGAAGGGGGAAGAAAGAAGGAAGGGAAGAAGAAGAGAGGGAGAGGATGGAAGGAGAGAGGGGGAGGAAGGGGAGAAGGAGAGAATGATAGAGAAGGGAGGGGAGTGGGAGGAGGAGATGAAGGATTCCTGAGAAGATAAGAAGAAGGAGAAAGAGAGGGGAAGAGGAGATGAAGGATTCTTGAAAGGGAAAGGATGTGGGGGGGGGGGAGGGAAGGATGAGGAAGAAGAAGAATGAGGGAAGAGGGGAAGAGAAGGAAGGAACGGGGACAGTGAGAGAAAAGGGATTCCAGAGGAGAAGGGAGAAAAGGGGGGATAGGAGGAGGAGGAGGAGAAGGAAGAGGAAGAGACGAAAAAGAAGGAGGAGGAGGAGGAGGAGAAAAGGAAGAAGGGGGAGAAAAGAGAGGAGGAGGAGGAGAATAATAATAATAAGAAGAAGAAGAAGAAGAAAAAGAAGAAGAAGGAAGGAAGGAAGGTAGAGAAACAACATAGAGGACTTTAAAGGAAAGGGAAATGAAGGGAAGGAAGAGGAAGGGGAAAAGAGGAGATAAGAAAGCACTACAACAAGGAGACGTTAAGAATGAAGAGGCAGAAGAGTGAAAGAGAAAGAGAAAGAGAGAAGAAAAGAGGAAAGAAGAGGAGAGAAAGGAGGGAAAGATGGAGAGCAAGAGAACGAAAAATAAGGGAAGACAAGTTAACAAAAAGGGAGAGAAGGTAAAGGAAGAGATGGAGAGGAGAAACGAAAGAAAGGAATAGAATAAGAAGAGAGAGATAGGGAGAAAAAGGAGGAAGGAATAAAATAGGAGGAGAAAGGAAACTAGAGAGAGAGAGAGAGAGAGAGAGAGAGAGAGAGAGAGGAGAGGAGAGAGAAGAGAGAGAGAGAGAGAGAGAGAGAGAGAGAGAGAGAGAGGAGAGAGAAACGAAGAGCCAGAAGAAGAGAGAGAGAGCGAGAGAGAGAAGAGAGAGAGGAGAAGAGAGAGAGAGAGAGAGAGAGAGAGAAAGATAGAGACAGAGAGAGACAGAGAGAGAAAGAGTGAGAGAGAGATCAGAGGAGAGACGCGAAGAGGAATGGAAAATGAGAGAGAAAGATTGAAAAAGTTACGCAGGGAACTGCAATGGCGAGGGGATAGCGGGGAAAAAAAGAAAAAAGAAAAAAGAAAGAAAAACTCCCGACAGAAAAAGAGGGGAGAAAAAGTCCTGAGAGGAGAAGGAAAATGGGAGAGAGAGAGAGATGGAGGGAGGGGGAGAGGAGAGAGAGAGAGAGAGGAGGGAGAGGAGGGGGAGAGGAGAAAGAGGGAGAGAGGGAAGGAGAGATGGAAGGAGGGAGGGAGAGGGAGAGAGAGAGGGAGAGGGAGATGGAGGGAGAGAGAGAGAGAGAGAGAGAGAGAGAGAGAGAGAAGAGAGAACTGAGAGAGATGAGAGAGAGAGAGAGAGAGAGAGAGAGAGAGAGAGAGAAGAGAGAGAAGAGAGAGAGAGACGAGAGAAGAGAGAGAGAAGACGAAGAGAGAAAGAAAGCGAGCAATAGAAAGAAACAAAGAAACAGAGCAAGCTAGAGAACGAGACAGAGACAGAGAGAGAGAGAGAGAGAGAAAAGGAAGGAAAGGTGAGGGGAAGGAGAGCACAGAGAGGGAACTAACCAGCTTCCCCTCTGCCAGTATGATTCGTTAGCTTCATCGGGGCCACAGGGGAGAGAGGGGATGGGGGGGGGGGGAAGGGCATAGGGGAGAGACGGCCTGGGGGAGAGAGTGGGACTGGGGGAGGACAGCATGGTGAGAGGGAACCGGGGGGTGGGAGGGGCCACAGGGAAAGAGGGAGAGCAATGGCCCGGGGGGGGAGGGAAGAGAGGGGTCACGGAGAGAGAGGGGGCGGGGTGAGGGGAAGGGGCCATAAGGGAGAGAGGGGAGCGAGGCGGGGGGGGGAGGGGAAGGGGCCATAGGGGAGAGAGGGGCCGGGGGGAGGAAGAGAGGGGGGAGTGGGGCCGGGGGGGGGGCCAAGTGGGGTTGTCTATTGGATTAACCGAATGGAGGGAAGGCGGGAGGGAGGAGAGAAAGGGAGAGGGAGAGAGAGAGGGGAGATGGAGAAAAGGAGAGAGAAACAAAAGGGAGATGGAGAGAAGGAGAAGGAAAGAAAGGGAAGAGGAAGAGAAGGAAAGAGGAAGGAGAAAAGAAAGAGAGCGCAAGAGACGGTGAAAGACATAGACAAAGAAAGTGAGAGAGGAAAGAAAAGAAAGAGAGGGAGAAAGGAGAGAGAGAAAGAACAAGAGAGGGAGAGAAAAAAATAGGTAACATAGCGAGAGAAACGATTGAGTAAGAATGTACGAAATGAAGAATAAGAATAGAGAAGAAAGGCATGAGAGGGAGAGAGAAAAGGGAAATGTTACAAAAGACGGATTACAAGTTATTTAAAAGATAACATACGCATACAAATTATTATAGATAAATAGATAGAAATGTATGTATGATGTATATATGTATATATGTATATATATACATGTATATATATATGCAGTATACACACACACACACACACACACACACACACACACACACACACACACACACACACACACACACACACACACACACACACACACACCACACACACACACACACACACACACACACACACACACACACACACACACACCACACACATATTCATTGTTGTTATCGCCAGCACTATTGTTATTGATCAAATTAGCGAAATCTCACTTGTTCGAATTAGTGACGTAGGATATTTTAATAACGAAAAGAGTGATACTACTATTAATACCAACGTGAAAATGATAATGGTATGATGATAAAACTAATTGCCATTACTAATGTTGATAATGATGATGTAAAGTTAATGATTACGATCAGTAAACTAATAATAATTTCGATGTACGAAATATTAAGAAAATTTATATCGGTCGTTGTGAAATTGTGTGTGTGCGTGTGTGTGTATGTGTGTGCGTGTTCGTGCGCGTATACCTATGCATGCGTGCGTTCGTGCGTATGCGTGCGTAAAACCGACTTGCAGACAGACAAAACCAAACAGCCAGGCAAAGACACAAACTGACAGACGGACAGACAGAAACCAACAGCCAAGCAAAGACACAACTGACAGACACAGACAGAAACCAACAGACACGCCACCAACGCACACACGAAGAGGAAGTCCTGTTCTAAGCCGGAGATATGTACACACGTAAAAAAGGGTCGACATCCAATTATTACACAAATCATAACATCAAACAGTTCTTTAGCGGGAGATAAGAGGGGGAGGGAGAAGAATAGGGGAGAAGGGGGGGAGAGAGGGGAGAGAAGAAGGGAGGAAGAAAAGGGGGGGAGGAGAGAGAGGAGAAGAAGAGGAGGAGGAGGAAGGGGGGGAGGAGGGAAGGGAGAGAGGGGGAGAGGGGAGAGGAAGAGAAGGAGAGAAGAGGGGGGAGGAGAGAGAAGAGGAAGGAGAAAAGAGAGGGAAGGAGGGAAGGAGAGGGAGGGAGAGGAGAGAAAGAGAAAGAGAAGGAGAGTGGAGGGAAGGGGAGAGAACGGGAAGAGAGATTGGGAAGAGGAGGAAGAGGGAAAGAAGGACGAGGAGGAGAGGGAGAGGGGGGGGGGGAAGGACAGAAGGAGAGGGGAAAGAAGGGAGAGAGGAGGAGGAACGGAAGAAGGAGAGGAAGAGAGAGGGAAAGAGAAAGGAAGGAAGGGGAGAAAAGAGAGAAGAATTGAGGGGGGGAAGGGAGAGGAGAGGGAGGGGAAAAAGAGAGATGGAGAGGGAAAAGGAAGAGAGTAAAAGTCAAAGGAGGGTGTATTTACAGCGCTGTTGGCTCTTAGGAAACTCACAGACTTCTGAATAAGACTCATTTTTCGTTCGTTTTTTCTTTATTTGATTTCTCTCTCTCTCTATTCCTATTTCTGTTTTTCTCTCTACTAATCTGTCTTTCTATCCCACCTCTCTGTATCTCCATCTATTCCCCCTCTTATACACAAGGAAACGAAAATACACCGATGTAGGAAAAACAAGAGTTTTTTTTATGAACAAAAGTCCCAGGACACTAACTCTCCCTCAGACACGTATCTTGACGGACGCATTTACCACCCAAGTCCCTTCCGAAAGGCCGGACCCGCCCTCATCTCATCCGCCGCCGCCCTCCGCCTCTCTCCCGCAGGAACTTCGGCGCGCGGTGCGCCAAGTGCTGCCGCAGCATCGGCGCCGCGGACTGGGTGCGGCGCGCCCGCGACCGCGTCTACCACCTCGCCTGCTTCGCCTGCGACGCCTGCAAGCGGCAGCTCAGCACGGGCGAGGAGTTCGCCCTCCACGACAACCGCGTCCTCTGCAAGCAGCACTACCTCGAGTCCATCGAGGGCGGCGCCTCCAGCAACGACGGTGAGGCACCCTGGGATACGGGAGAGGGGGAAGGGGGGAGGAAGGGAGAAGGAAAGGAGGAAAATGATTAATGATGAATAATTTAGCTTATTTCCATTTCTTTCAATGGTTATGATTGTTTTTTATTCCTAAATTACCCCCTGTGTGCAAGGAATTGCCGAAGTTACCTTCCAGTAGCGGTGCGGGATTCGAACTCGGGTCAGCAAGATTTGCTAGACGAGAACGCTACTGCATTGAGAGAGAGAGAGAGAGAGAGAGAGAGAGAGAGAGAAAGAGAAAGAGAGAAAAGAGAAAGAGAAAGAGAAAGAGAACAGAGAGAGAGAGAGAGAGAGAGAGAGAGAGAGAGAGAGAGAGAGAGAGAGAGAGAGAGAGAGAGTAGAGAGTAGAGAGCGAGAGAGAGAGAAAGAAAAAAAAGAAAACGAAAGAACGAGAGAAAGATACAACCCTGTCCCCCAACTCACCCCATTCGCCCCCACCACCCCACCACCATCAACCAAATACCCAACCACCCAACCACCAACCAACTAACCAAACCCTTTTCTCTCCCCTCTCCCCCTCCCCCCTCCACCCTTCCCTCTTCCTCCCCTCTCCCCCATCCCACTCCCCTCTCCCCCTCCCCCCTCCCCCCACAAACAGAAAGCGACGGCTCGGGGAAGACCAAAAGCAAACGGGTCCGCACCACCTTCACGGACGAGCAGCTGCAGGTCCTCCAGGCCAACTTCCACATCGACTCGAACCCCGACGGCCAAGACCTCGAGAGGATCGCCCAGATCACGGGCCTGTCCAAGAGGGTGACGCAGGTGTGGTTCCAGAACAACCGGGCGAGGCAGAAGAAGTACATCACGCAGGGCAAGAGACACCACGCCGCGCCGCAGACGCCCGTGGGGGCTGGTAAGATGGGCGGCTGCTGTTCAGCTTTTTTTTATTGGTGTTTTTGTTGTTGTTGGTTCTTGTGACAGTAGTTGTAGTAGTAATGTTTTTGTTATCGTTAATATTATTATTATCAGTAGTAGTAGTAGTATATGTTATTATTATATTGTCTTTCTTCGATGATGATAATAATGATATTTATTATTATTATCATTATTATTATCATTACTTCTTACTACCATTGTTATTATTATTACTATTTACTACCATTGTTATTATTATTACTATTACTACATTGTTATTATTATTATTATTATTATTATTATTACTATTATTATTATTATTATCATTATTGGTATATTATATTATGTCTATTTATCTATCTTTTAGTGACTTTATCATATGTTCCTAAATTCTGTTTCTTCTTGCTTGTTCATTAAGGGATTCAATTTTAGAAGCATAAGGTGAATAAATGAGAACGTTTGAAACAAACAGAATTCAACACAAAAGCTATAGACTTTAATAAATGTTAATATCAGGTAGGGTATTCTAACAATTTCTATACTTAATATGATAAGAGAATGATGATAAAAAAACGTAAATAGAAAAATCAAAATGCATCATGCTGCTCCTGTTATATATTATTTTATTATTTATCCATTTTTTATTATAATTTTCATCGTCGTTATTTCCACATCATCAATACTTTTACATCACCATTACTTTCAAGATCTGAATTTTATTAAAAACATTTCCTCAGATTTTTATAGAATACATATGAACACATCGGCGCTAGATATTTTTGAAAATATTTTTGTTCTCTAAAATAAGGGTGAACATAACCGTAGACTTTCCTGTTAGATATTTATATATTTTAACAATAAAAATACGTCTCTGTTTTCATTTTTATCTCCGGTAGCAAGAGCATTATCATTATTATTGCTACTACTTCTACTACTACTATTACGATTAATATATTTTTATTATTATTATCATCACTAATCGAAATAAAGAAGCAAATGACTTTAAAAACGTAAGGAAAGGCAACTCTTAACTTCCTAAAACTGAAGAATGAATACGGGTTTGGAGAGACGAAGTGTCCGTTCGCTCAACAGATGGCGCGCATAACAAAGGCAGGTTTCAAGGGTTAACGATCGAACGTTGGAAATAGTGTATTAAATATGTAAAATATAGTGTATAAAATATATAGTGTATAAAATATATACATTTTGCGATCAAGTATTTACATGTGTAAATATATCAAAGACTTGTATTGTTATTCAAACAACTGAAAAAAGAAGAAAAAAAATGTAGCATAAATTTTAATAGATTTCTACACATTTCTTTCTACAGTTGACAATTCGACCGAAACTGAAAATATGTCTATTTCCTTTGCTACATAAACCCCAATAATAACTAAAATTTAAATTGCGTTCGGAAGATATCACCAGAAAAATCAACGGTGTGAAATAATAAATAGAATAGAATAGAATAGAAATTATGTAAACACTGTTTCTTCTGCACGCCAATCTTGCATTTTGTAAAGTTGCGTTTTTTTTTTCTCCATCTGCCCTCTTTTTCGCTTTTGAAAACAAAATCCCGTACAGAACTGACTTGTTTACAAGACCAATAACCGCGAAAATACATGTGTGACTGTACCTTATAAAATATCGGGTTTTTGTAAAGGAAGTGACTACTGGTACGGCAGAAATCCCCCCCCCCCCGTTTGAAGTCCTGCGCATGCGTGGTAAAACAAACAAGATGGCGGCTTCTTAACACGAGAAAATGGGTTAGGTTCGTACTTATTACCCGGAAATGAAGCTTATAGCCGCGTACGCATAAGTGTGCCGTACCTCTTAACACCGAGAATTTGGATATAGCTGCCGTACGCGTATCCTCGACCTTTTTGGAATATAACATTGTAGTTTATGATAGCCACAACCACTGAAAATTATTATCAACAACCGATAAAAATATAGCCACGAATATAGCCCATTTAACAACAGGCACTAAATAACAACAGATTATAGCATATAATTTGAACATTCGAAAAAAATGGCGAACATATAGCAATTACCATTCACTACGAAAGTTTAGATGATCAAATACAGTTTATTTACAGAAACAATTGTAACCCCAACTACCAATTTACTAAAAACAACCCCATTATGAATACAGGAATCAACAACTGAAATACAGACTCCGACCATAGGCCTATCAAAAACAACGAAAATACAGAAACTATCCTTAACGTAATAACTCACCCACTGTATATATAAAATCAGACGTAGACCATTCCTTATAACGAATTCGGTAGAGAGAGCGAAGGAACACACTCGCACGCAATAAGAAATACAAAAGTAATTGGCGGTTGGTGTTTTAAGGTGACAGTTGAGGTTAGGAATGCGCACGAGGGTGTTGGTAAGGCAGAGATCGTGATTTTTGTGCGAAATAAGTAGGTATACGCGTGTATGTGCCAAAAACGTGTATGGAAATACATACATGCGCACACGTACACTTTAACTCATGTGCACTCGCACATTTGCGCACACGCACATACACACACACACACACACACACACACACACACACACACACACACAACACACACACACACACACACACACACACACACACACACACACACACACACACGCACGCACGCACGCACGCACGCACGCACACACACACACAGAAACACGCACACACACGCATACGCACGCACACACACACGTACTAGCTACGGTTATACCAGCAACAACTGTACCTAAAATAGAAGGTATTGCATTATTTTACTGTTTTCAGTCACCACTGCCAAGCAAGATACAAAGGCATCCATACAAGTATATCTTTCATTGTTATTATCGCCATTAACGCATCATAATCATTATTATCTATTTCATTTGTTAACTGTTATTATCATTATTGTTATTATCATTATTGTTATCATTATCTTTATTGTTATCATTATCTTATAGTTATCATATCATTATTGTTATCATTATCATTATGACTGTTATTATTGCTATTTTTATTGTTATTGTTGTTATCATTATTCTTGTTGCCATGACTGTAATTATCACTGTTCACAATTATCATTATTATTGTTGTCATTAGAATTTGTTGACATTCTCGTTTTTATCATTATCATCACTTAAGTTATTATTATCATGCATCAACATCTTTATTTAATTAATAGTTGTTATTAATGATATCGTCATCATTATCATCTGTTAAAAGTTATCATTATTATACCCATCATGATTATCACCTATTAATATTATCATCATTATTGTCTTTTAGCAGCACCCATTAACAATTAATATCCTTAGTATTGTTATTATCATTATCATCATTATTATTATCATTATTATCATCATTTTCCATCTTCATTATTAACGCTGTTATTATCGTTATTATTGCTATTATTATTATCAACATTATTATCACTGTTATTATCATGTTTTTTTTTGTTATTACCACAGTTATTATTATTACTATCATCATAATTATTATTACAATTATTATCATTATCATCAGCTATTATCATCATAATTACAATCACTTATTATCATCATAATTACAATCACTTATTATCATCATAATTATTATCGCAGTTATCATCATTATCACTTATTATTATCAGTATCCCTTTTTTCCCCTGTGCCAATAAAACGACCCAATCTGTGGATTTTATCAAACCTCCCACAGTGATTAATCTAAGCACCCCCCCTCCCTCCCCCTCCCCCTCCTCCCAGTCTGGAGTGAGGTGTAAAGCCGAAGTGAAGGCTGGGGAGGAGGGAGGAGGGGGAGGGGAGGGAGTGGAGTAGAATGGGAGGAAGGAAGGGAAGTGGAGTGGGGGGAGAGGGAATAGAGGGGAGTAGTAGAGTAGAAGGGGAGTGGGAGGAGGAGTGGAGTGGAGAGGAGGAGAGGAATAGAGAGGGGTAGTAGAGTAGAGGGGAGGGGAGGAGTTGAGTGGAGGGAAGGAGGGGGAGGGAGGAGTGGTGAAGTGAGAGGGAAGGGGGAGTAGTAGAGTAGAGGGAGTGGAGTAGAAGGGAGGGGGATGAGTGTAGTGGAGGAGGGGAAGAGGGGAGGAGGAGTAGAGGAGCAGAGGGTAATAGGGGAAGGGAGTGGAGTGGTGGGGAGGGAGTAGAGTGGTCGGGGAGGGGTAGAGTGGTGGGGAGGGAGTAGAGTAGATGGGGATGGAAGGGAGTGGAGTAAAAAGAGAGGAGGGGAGAAGCAGTATAGGGAGGGAGGGGAGGGAGGGAGGGAGAGGGTAGTTTACCTGCACGTGTCTCGCTCACCTGGGATTGATTTCGACGGTTTTCTTATCTCCGGGATCGCCAGTGAGAGCTATCTGGGGATGCCTTTCCCAGACTGGGTTTACACGTGTTTCTCGTTCTCTCTCTCTCTCTCTCTTTTCTTTCTGTGTCCTTCTTTCTTTTTTTCTTTCCCTGTCTCTTTTCTTTCTTTCTTTCTCTTTATCTCTCTCTCTCTCTCTCTCTCTTTATCTCTTCCTCCTCATTCTCATCATCACCACCGTCACAACTCCTCTTCCTCCTTTGCCTCCCCCTCCTCCTCATCACTACCACATCCTCCTCATCGTCATTCTCATCACCACCACCCTCACAAACTCATCCTCTTCCTCCTCCTCCTCTTCCCCCTCTGCCACCCCCTCCTCATCATCACCATCACATCCTCCCCATCCTCATTCTCATCACCACCCTCACAAACTCATCACACAGACCAACGCAATGATCATAATGTCAACGTTCCACAGTGAACTTCTCGATTGGTCATATCATTAATTAGGTGCGAAATTTTTGTTGATTAGTTACTGTGCAATTAAGCATGATAATCAATATATTACCCCTTTGGCTGTTGACTTTTGTTTTTGGCATAAATATGGCGGAACATCGGTCGTTATGTGCAGATGTCTGTAATGTATACATACATAATTACTATATATATATATATGTGTGTGTGTGTGTGTGTATTTTATATATATACTGTATATATAT